AGCGAGAGCGAGAGAGAACGACAGCAGGGCCACGAAGGGCACGAAGTAGGCCACGAAGGGCGACACCGGGGACACGAAGGGAATGCGTATGGGGCCACGAAGAGCGCGAACCAGCGGGGGCCACGAAGTTCAGATTATGCGGGGCCACAGAAGGCAACTATGGGGCCAATGAGGGTAGCAACTGGGCCACGTCGGACAGTGAGGGGGACACAAATGGCGACAGCGGGGCCACGAAGGGCATGCACATGGGGCCACAACGGGCGCGACTCCTGGGTGCCTGGGTGTCGGGAGCGCGGCGCTTGGGGAAATCGCAAGAAATTCCAACGCAAGGCCATTCAGTAAGTTGAAAGCAAGTCTCCAGCGAGAGCGCGACTCCAGAGCGCCGGGAAAGCGATTCCTGAACAAATTGTAAGGAAGTCCCAAGCGAGAGCGCGATTCCTGAATAAAATGCGAGGAAATATCGGGCGGGAGCGGGGGTCCTGGCTACATTGTAAGGAAGGCTCAAGCGGGAGCCGTTGTTGTTGTAACCCGGGCGCCAAGGGCCCAGTTTGAGCAGGAAGACTTCCCCCGTCAAAAAAACAGGGTGCGAGCGTCGAGTGGCACACTTTGATTGAGAAAAAACAGTATGCACCGGTGGGGGGGGGATCAACAACAATTATTCTTCAGAAATGAGAAATCAACAACAACAACAACAACAACAACAACAACAACAACAACAACAACAACAACAATCATTTAAGACTGGGGACACTCCGTTCTCACCAGTGCCAGGGTTTTCATAGGAGGCGGGCAATACCCCCACTTTGTGGGGGGGCCGGTTCAAGCTCTACCAAATTTCCAAACGACTCTTCGCCACCACCCACACCCAGCTTCCCGCCCTATGACGTTCGGACACTTCACTTCGTGGCATGCGGACGACCGTGGCTACTATTCAGGGCCCCGCGGCCGACGACGACGGCGTGCGCGCGCGAAGAAAAAACGAATGTGTCCCGCATGGTATTATTTGACAGGGATGATGGCCCTGGCAGGTGCGCAACCGTTGTCGCAGAAGTTCGAAAAAGTTGCTCGCAAAAGCCCGTTTGACAGAAATGTTTAAAAAGTGTTGGGTTTCCTACGAATCCGCAAGAGCGCGCGGGATGAGATTTTGACATTTTTTTGTTGAAAAACCATTGGTTTTTTGATGTTTTTATGTTAAAATCGCTCCGAACACTAAGCTTTTGGAAGGATTTCGTCTTGCGCGCGCGAATGTCCACTTTACCTTATTTTTTGCAAGGGATTCTTGAAATTTGATTATATTAGAACAAGAAATGTCATTTTATAGTGTTTTTTGCAAGGGAAAACGGATTACAACAAAACAACCGGATCTGGACCCCATCCACTTTTCTGAGCTTTCGCGAAAATGATGAAAATGTAGCTGCGGCCTAGGCGCGGCGGGGGGGCCGTGCACCAGGGGTCCCAACAATAATTATTCTTTAGAATTAATAATGTTCAACAACAACAACAACAACAACAACAACAACAACAACAACAACAACAACCACAACCACAACCACAACCACAACCACAACCACAACCACAACCACAACAACAACAACAACAACAATAACACCAACACCAACAACAACAACAACAACAACAACGCTCCCGCTCGATACTTCCTCCTTCTCTACTAGGGACTCGAGCTCTTGTTTGCAGCCGGAACTTCCCAACATAGCCAACGCTCTCGCTCGATATCTCTTTGCTTTTTACTCAAAACCGGCACTTCCACCTCGGCGTCGCAGACGGCCCCCCCTGCAAACACCGACGATCCCGCTCGATACAGCCGTCATTTTTATGTAACATTTTGAAAAAATCTGCACGCTCAGACGTTTAGGTGCTCCCGTAGGTTTCCGCGGCTGTCTCCGCGGCTGTGCCCCGCTGGGGCGCCCTGGCGCTCTCGCTTCGGCGCGCGGGAGCACGCGGCGGCGGCGGCGCCGCCGCCGCAGCCTCCGCCGCCGCCGCCGCCGCCGCTGTCGTTGTCGTCGTCGTCCTCGTCGTTGTCGTCGTCGTCGTCGTCGTCGTCGTCGTCGTCGTCGTCGTCGTCGTCGTCGTCGTCGTCGTCGTCCGTCTACTCCTCCTCTGCCTCCTCCTTCTCCTCCTCCCTTTCCCGCCCCCTCCTCCTCTCTCGTCGTCGTCGTCGTCGTTGCGTCGTCGCCGTCGTCGTCATCGTCGTCGCTGCGTCGTCGTCGTCGTCGTTGTCGTTGTCGTCGTCGTCGTCGTCGTTGTCGTTTTCGTCGTCGTCGTCTTCGTCGTCGTCGTCGGCCGTCTCCTCCTCCTCCTCCTCCTTCCCCTCCCTTGTCTTCCCTCCTCCTTCGTCTTCTTCCTCCTCCTCCTCCTCCTGCTCCCTCCTCTTCCTCCTCTCCCCGAGGTCCAGAAGCTCCTCCGATCCAGGCTTTTCTTCAACATGCCCTGAGGCATCCTGCAAGAGGCCCCGAAACCCTCCAGCTCAGCTTTGAAGCGTCTCCCATGGGCCTCCAGGTTCCCCCAAGGGGCTCTGCAACTTCCCCGAGAAGCTGTGGGGGCTCTCCAAGGGGCTCCGGAGGCTCTCCAAGGGGCTCTGGGGGCTCTCCAAGGGTTGTGGGAGACCCTCTCTGTGGTTTAAGGCCACCAGGGCGTGGTGATACCAAGAAGTAATGCGTGGGCAGGGCGATTGCGTGGCGATGTGCCGCCCGGGTAAGATACGTTGAAGTGGATGGGAAGAGGTCTTACCAAGACCTCCTCTCGCGGGAGATCTGGGTGAGGGAATATTCCTCCCCTTGTGCAAGACATGTCACCTATGAGGGGGAACATCATGATGGATGCGTGCTGCAAGCATAATCATAAAGCATTCGGGTAACATGATGATGGTTGTTGTGGTTGTTGGCGTGTGTGTGTGTGGGGGGGGGGGGTTGTCGCTGCACGTTTCGCTTGGACTTACAGTTCCTCTTTCACACTCATTGCTTGCATCTTGCGGTGATGCCGCTTGCGCACCGCGCTATTGACAACGTTCGGTCGCAATAAGAACCGCCATCTGCTGTTCGCGCTTGAGGGCCCCCTGCGCCACCGACTTCAAGTGTGTGTGTGTGTGTGTGTGTGTTTGTGTGTGTGTGTGATTGAACTGTTGCTGCAAGTGGGTCGGGTCCTAGGGCGCTTTGCTTCAGTTGCGTCTCGCCGAAGGGCGTCTGGGGATGCTGGAATCGTTCCAAGCGTCCGCCAGAGACCCGAGTTATGGCCCGAAAGTTGCCACCCTCGCGTCGTAAGACAGTCGCGACGGAAGGTTTTTTTCGCTCCCTCGCTGGGCCCGGGGCAGTCAAACACGACTTGGAATGAAAACCAAGTCATGGGGACAAGGTCCATTGGATATCTGTGGAACCCAGACCTCCAACGTAGTGAAAAACTCAAGGCGGATTCTTTTGTCGTTTTCGGCGTCGGGACTTCCAGGGGCCCCGTGTTGAAGACATCAAGACGTCGGGTGTCTGAGAAAGCTCGGGGAGGGGGCGACCAATGACCTGGAATCGGCGAGGCATCGCCGATAGATCGGCGATGGGCCCCCGAAAGCGAATCCCCAATGGGGTTGGGCACCCCTGCCCTGATTCGATGTCCCTTTCATGAGCCAAGCCGCCCGCCAGCGCCCCGGAGACCTCGCGCCGATGGTGCCAGAGAGCGTGCCGGTGGAGCCCGAGCTGGAGGACCTGGAGGCCTTCCAAGTGGGGCTGGAGCAGGTGGGGTCGGAGGACCGCACCGCATCGCCACATGCGTCGGCGGTGCGATCGGCGGCGTCGGGATCGAAGAGATCGGGCTCTGGCCCCAGAGCTCCCGACCCCTTCCCCTGGGGTTGTCTTCCTTCCCAGATCCGGTTTTGATGGGGCCTGGTAGCAGGCCCTGGAAGCCGAAATCCGGGAACAACCTGGGATTGTCAAAAATTGCATCGCTGGAGATCTGGGGATCGTACCTCGTCGCCGAGGCGTCCAAGGAGCCCACAAAAAGGACACAAACGCCCAACCATTTCCATGAATACGTCCCCCCGCCCCCCAGTCCACGAGACCACCCTCGTGACACGAACCAGCGCGGTTGATTTTTTCAGCACGCGGTCCCGCAAGCCCCAACCCTTTCCCCAGGGTTGGTTCTTCGTCCCGAGTCGCTCTTTGGAGGTCCAGGGGCCCTGCGAAAGCCCCCACAGGGCCGAAAGCGACCAAACACCTCCCGCCCTGACTGTTCCACGACGCGCACGGGTCCGAGTGACAGTCGGACTCGAGTGGACAGGACACGCGAGAGGACACATGACCCGTCAGAGGGCCACATTGCCACAGGAATGTAGGAAGCATGGGTCGCGAGACACAGGACACAAAGGTACCCTTGATTTGGCAGGGTCGACCTACTAATCCGGGCCGCCTGTACGTGTACGTCCCTCGTTCGCTCCTGAGCGTCGGCGGCGCGGCACGGCCCGCCGACCCCTCCTGCTCGAGGCCCCACTTCGGGAGACCTCTGGGATCGGACCCGCGGTCAGCCGAGGCGTCTCTGCCAGGCCCCTCGGCCTCCGAGGCCTGCCGGTCGAAGAGCTCCTCTCGGCGGTTCGACGATGGGGTCCTGAGAGCTGGGGTTCGAAGGACGGGGAGTCCTCGAACAGTGTAGATTCACGCTTGAGTCCCTCCCTATCCTCCGGACCCCATGCCTCAGGACCCCATCCTTGAACCGCCGATCCTTGAGGCGCCCTCGGCGCCCCTCGGAGCCCGTCGACGAGGGGGCCACGTGGTGGTCCGCCTGGGGAGCGTTTTCCTATCTTCAGCGATGGCGGCCGTGACTGGCCCCGGCCGCCCCCCTCCCCCCCTCCTCCAGGCAACACCACACTCTCTTTGATTGTACCCCCGATCATTCCCACACGGCGCTGGCGCGAAACGTGACAGTACTGGCCCCGGCCCCCCCTGCCCCTCCCCCCCCGTCCCCCCCTTCCCATCCCTCCCCCACCCCCCGGGTAACGCCCGTTATCGCCCGGGAAGGAAACAAACACTCTCCTGCAAGGGCTCGGGCCGTGGCCTGCCCTGCTCGCGCTTCCGGAGCTCGCGCAGCATCCGCCGGCCGGACGCGCCGCTGACGGTGAGGCTGTTCGACTCCAAGATTGTGCGCTTGTCCTCGCCCGGCTGCGCCGCCTCGCAGAAGAGGCCTACCGCCTGGTCCGCGGGGGGGGGGGGGCGCCGAGCCCTGAGATCCGGGCGCTGCAGTGCGCTTGAGCCGGGCGCTTTCGTCCAATTTCGGGCCCCCTACCATGGGGCCCTCACAGATCGGTCCGGCTCGGAACAGGGCGCAGACAGGTGGGGTCTGGGGCTCCGGTTGTGCTTTGTGACGAGCTTCTGCTTGTTTTCGCGACGTCGGATCTCAGGGAAGAAGATCTCCTGGGTGTTCGTGCCCTGGGATCCGACGTGGCGAAGATATACAGCATCGCGAACAAAAACCGGACCATCTTGCTCGAGCCGGATCGCACTGCAAGGGTCCCGGGGCCCGAAATTGGGCGAAAACGCCAGACTCGAAAAAATTGCTGCAACGCCCAGATCTCCAGGTTCACGCGGGGGCAAGAAACGTGGGCAAAGACACCTGCACCTCTCGTGCACCTCCTGGGCCCGCTGTGGAAGCTTCGGGGCCGTTCAGGGCCACCCTTCTGCAATGTCCTCGATCCCCCCCTCCACCTTCAGCTGCCCCCCCCCCCGTTGCCGTGCGCCCGAGCCTCGTCCGTGGGCTCGGCGGCCGGCGTGGTCTGCCAGCGGCTGCGGTAGCACAGCAGCACGTTCCAGGCCAGCAGCGCGAGCAGCAAGCACCTGTCGGGCGAGAGGCTCTCCGCGAGCTGCCGGGGCACGGCCAGCACCCTGTGCGGCCCAGCGGGCGCCGAGCCGGTGATGTAGCTGTACGGGCCGGCGTCGTCGCCGGGGGCCTCGCACACGCTGAACTTCTGGGAGTCCTCCAGCAGCTGCGCGCGGTCGTCGTGCTCCCGCAGGACGTCCACCAGGAGGACGAGGGCAGAGTTGAGGCCAGAGGCCAGCGCCTTCACGCTCTCCTGCAGCATGGCCTGCCCATCCTGCACCTCCCGCAGGTCGTTGTCTATGCGCACGAGCGGCGGCGTCGACGACGACGTCTTGTTTGCCCGCTTCGACTTGTTCTTGCCGCCCCCCGCGGCGAGCTCCAGCGCTCCGGCGACGCTCGGGGAGTTCAGCAGGGAGCCGAGGGACAGCTGCAGCCGCTGCAGGGAGGCCAGCCCAGTGTCGTTGGCCAGCACGGCGGCGTCGCTGGCGGTCAGCTCGGCCAGCACCTCCAACGGCGACCGCCGTGGCCTCTCCGTGGCACTCCCGTCGGCACCGGGCCGGCCTGCAGCGGCCTCGCCCGCAGCGGCGTGCTCGTCGCCGCCCGACGCTGGCTGGCCGCCCACGGGCTCCTCGTCCGGCGTGGCCTCCAGCCGATCCGGCCCCCGGAGGCTCTGCAGGACCACCTGCGGCAGCTGCAGCGCCTTCTGCAGGGTCCTGTCGATGCTGGCGATGGCCTGCGTGAAGGGGCCGCGCCTCGCCAGGCCCAGCGGCTCCGCCGCGGCCGCGGGCTGCGGCGGCGGCTCTGGCTGGGACTCCTCGCGGACAGCCCGCACCGGCGATGGCGGGTGAGACGCGGCCTCTGGCGGTGCGCCGCGGCCCAGAGGGCCGGCCAGCGCCGCCTGTGCGGTGAGGTCGTGCCACTCGGCAACGTCGGCGAGGGAGGGCTCGATGCGGCTGTCGACGGCGGCAGGCTTGTTGCTCTCGTCGGCGATGTACGTCATCTGTGTGGACCCGAAGGCCTGGAAGCGGGTCAGGGCGCAGAAGGTGTTGTCCTCCATCTCGTGGTGGCTCAGGACTCGGATCTTCAGGAAGCGCACCCAGCACTCGGCCTCTTGGCGGCACCTCGCGCCGATGTCGAAGAGCTCGTAGGAGCCCGTGAAGTTGGTCTCGACCACGCCGAGCACGGTCCACTCGTCCGTGGGGTACTTCGTCGAGCCAAGGACCTGCAGATGTCGGAACCCGGAGGCGAAGAGCTCCAGCGATACCAGCCCGATGTACTCCAGGAACAGGTCCTCGAGCAACGACACCACGAACCAGGTGCGCATGCTGCACGACGCGAGCATGTACGTGGACGTGTCAGGGGACAATATCGTCCTCGCGTGGAGTATGCCCTTGGCGTGCTTCACCAATCGGGCACCGGCACCCGCGGACGCGTAGTCGTACCGCGCGCCGTTCGTGAAGTCCTCCGAGTAAGGGGTGCTCCTGATGTAGCTCTGGGCTTGGCTCCGCTTTTTGTCTTTGGAGACCAGGCTCGTGGCATTGCTCGGCACCCGCAGGGGCCCGGGGGGCACTGGGGAGCTGCACTCGCAGGTCCGCTGGGTGCCCTCTGGCAGCGCGCCGCTGCCCTCGAAAAAGGAGGCGATGCAGCTGAGCAGCCCGTGCCGAGCGTTCAGCGTCTCCGCGGCCCACTGCGCCCCGGCGCCGAAGCGAATCTCGCCGGCGCAGAGGCAGATCTCGCCCTCGTCCGCACAGTGCCTCCAGGGCCTGGCCTCCGAGGCCTCGCGCGTCCCATTCGGGGGGCTCTCCAGCGCCGCCGGAGGAGGCTCGTCGTCTATCTCGCCCGTGAGCTTCATGGCCAGCTGGGCCCCGAAGCGGTCCTGGGAGGAGAGAGGAAGAAGACAGCACGAGCATAAACTTTTGGAGGTCCGCACGGACTTCCTGGATCCGAGCTGGGACCCACACCCTCCCTGGCGCTCGGAGCGCGCCAGGGGCGGTGCTGGAGGCACCGCCAGGGGAGCCTAGCTAAGAGGCAAACGAACCTACCACGCTTTTGACCACCCTCGCTTCCAAAAGGGGGCCACAGGATACCGAGCTACCCGTGGGGTGGCCCACAACTGTCAGGCTGCTTGGTATGACATGGTTTGGCCTGGGATCGAGAGCGGGGTAGGTAATTCACACTCTGACTACAGAAGGGCTGCTGACGCAAGGAACGCTGAGTGAGGAGCGCAGCCCCTTTTTTTGGCGCCAAGAGCGCCTGGGTGCACGAGGAGGGCTAGAGGGACAACCACGGAATGACCAAAGGAACAGCGAGCCCCTTCCGAACCGAGAGCGGCTTTTGTTTCGGCGCCTCGAGTGCAGCGCCGATCCCAGGAGTCCGCGCGGCCCTCGCCTGCGCCGCTTTTCTAGGGGGAAACAATCCTACCTCGCTTTTGACCACCCTCGCTTCCGAGAGATGCCAAGCGATGCCAAACTACGGCCTGTACTGGTCAGGTCGCTTGACGAGGAGGCGCGTGGTATGACTTGGTTCTTCCTGGAAGCGAAAGCGGAGTAGGTCATTCACGCTCTGATTTTTGCGCCCCGAGCTCCCACAGCTGCGAGAGGGCCGCGCCCCCGTGCGCATCGCACTGCCGGAAGGGCTCCGCCCACCTGCACACGCCGTGCCGCCGGGTGCTCTCCGCGGCCGCGGCCGCGGCCGCGGCCGTCCTCCGCCGGCGCTCCAGCTCGGAGGCGTTCTGGAAGTGCTGCCGCCAGGCCCTCCTCAGCCCGAGTGGGAGGAGGAGGAGGAGGAGGAGGAGGAGGAGGAGGAGGAGGAGGAGGAGGGAGGAGGGGAGGGGAGGAGGAGGAGGAGGAGGAGGAGGAGGAGGAGGAGGGAGGAGGGAGGAGGAGGAGGAGGAGGAGGAGGAGGAGGGAGGAGGAGGAGGAGGGGAGGAGGAGGGAGGAGCGAAGAGGGGGAGGGAGGAGGAAGGAGAAGGAGGAGGAGGAGGAGGAGGTCGCAACGTGAGGGGGGGGCCAGCTCAGGGGGGGGAAGCGTCGAGCTGGAATCGGCAGCACCCTGTCGATCGATCGGCGGTGTGTGGCAGCAGATCGCCCCTGGGATGTTTTTCCCTTGAGCCAGAACGCGAAACGGTCGGACTCTCCAAATGCTGAACCTAGGGATTAAAATCTGGATGGCGTTCACATGCCCAAAACTTTCTTGTAGGTTCAGCAGTTTCTAGAAACAGTAAGAATTATGATCGTCGAACCTGTGTCCGACAACCTGTCCTTGGGACAAAAATCACCTGAATTCGTCAAGGTCTCCTTGCCTGTCTCCGGGCGAATGGCTCGAAGATCAATCACTGAAAATTGAAATCGAAGAGGCTTACACTGGCCGGCTGAAACAGACAGGGAGGAGTGCAGGAGGGAAAGGAAGAGGAGGAGGAAAGACCACCAACCACAACACCACCACCGGAGACTGGTCGTACTCCGGGACCTGGATGGGGACGATCCTCCTGGGAACACGCGACGCTGATGCACTGACTGTCCAGAAGCTTCCGGGAGGCCGCCTGGGATCTATTCTTGAGGCCTGGGTCCTCCCGCCTCTTGTCCACCTCGACCCCCTCGTCCACCAGTACTATCCTCCCGCTGGTCATCAGATCAAAAAGTGCGGCATTGCACTTGGTCACGTCGTCTTTAGTGAGCGCATCTACAGGCATTCTCCCGTGGGGTTTCCAGCGGATACGTCCTGACGCCTGTTCCAGAGCTTCACATATGATGGCTAAGTCGATCGCCGTGCGGCGGTCTTTCGCACTGGCGTTACCCTCCTTGAGCATGGTATCGTATATAGATTTTGCGTCCACGATATGAATCTGGCCCTCCCGAGCGCCCAAACGGCACTCACGACGTAGCACTGTAGTAAAAGGGCCGGAGCATCTATGCTGGTCTCGAATAATCACATCTCGAAAAACCACATCGCGATAGAGTATCTGGAGGTATTCCACCTCCGCAATAGCTGCGGCCAGAGCTTGCGTCTCGCCAGCCAGAGTGGATGGTACTTTGCGGCGCAACTTGGAGCTGCGCCATCCTAGAATTGACGCCTTGACACATCGGTTCTCGGCAATGCTCTTGTCGCAGGCTAATACCATCCAAGCACCCTGTGTGGGATCTTCTGGGAGACCTCGATCGTCGTCTAGGCTGGGTCCCCCGATGCCCCCCGCATCTGAGAACGAGGCGAAGGACATGCGTTCTGGATTGAGCTTCCACACGATGATACCACGGGAGGCGGTGGCTCTGAGGTGCTTAACGAGCTTGTTAGCCAGGCTGACGTCCCCAGTGGTGGCTGCCTTGAGACGGCTAGCACGAATGCTTGCCGGTCCCGAGGCCTCTGGACGAGCTTCTCGGCCGCTCCAGTTAAACTTAAAAACGAGAGAGCGTAGTGCCTTGAACTCATTGTCCTCCAAGGGAGTGTCCCGGGCGGCGAGCCTACCTTTGGCGAGAGATATGGACCGAAGTTCTTCCAGTATGTATTTTTCCATATCGATAGTGGCCCGGTTCGGGCCTATAGTCGCCCGCCTACCAGCGTAGTCTACTGGCCCTGCATGACAATCCAGGTATTTTCCAAAACGGAATCTTGATCCAAGGCACTCTCGAAACCACTTCCGCTCTCTTCCGTGAGGCTCCCGATGAAGAAGTCATCGACCTCTAGTAGGATCATATTTAGCAGCTCTCCTTTGGATCCATAGCGACACCACCAGCACGGTTCAAGCAGAGTCCGAGAGAAACCTTGTTGTTCTAGAAAGGATACAATGGTTCGTCTCCATGCTACTGGGGCATCGTCGAGGCCGTACACGTTAACTTTGAGGCGCATGATGGAGCCTGCCGGAAGGTGGACGCCATCACACGGTTCAACAAATATCTCACCCTGGGACCTCACCATCTTGTCGGATTGGCAGAAGGCGTTTTTTACGTCGGCGATATCGGCCCTCATGCCGAGGTTCATGAGAACCTGCACAAACAGGGTGATGCTCGATGTTTGTGGCGTGTGAGAATACACCGTAGAGATCCGGCGTCGGGGTCCTTGTGACCATGCACACGCCAGCGGGACTTTGCTTCGGGTTATTTAAACGTGCCTTCCACCGGCTTCCACCTGCGGACCATCCTGCTAGAGATGATCCGGTCCGGACACTCCTTCCTCACGACTTCCGCCTTCTTCGGCCCCAGGGCCTCCACAGCCCCTGACTCGACCGTGGACTTCCACTCCGTATCGTCTGAGGCCTGGAACTTGGCCCGCTCGGCCGGGGTGAGGTTTTTAAACGAGACCCCACCTCCTCTACTGGCGGCGTACGTTTCTCCAAGCTGCTCCCTGGTCCTGGCCTGGAGACCGGGCCCGCGACGACCGGAACCAAAAAGAAATCCTCTTCCTCCTGCTCCTCTCTTCTCTCTGGCTCTCTGGGAGGGGACCTCGAACGGCCTGGTCGACGTCCTGCTTCCAGAGCCTTGACTATGTCACTCACGCTCCGGCGTGGCTCGGCGCTGCCCAGAATCTCCGGAGCTCTGGCAGCAGAGGACGAGGAGGAGGATGGGGTCAACAGGACAAGGAGTGGATGCTTCCGAGAGGCCAGGGGGCGGCTCGATCCTCACCTTTTTGTCGGGAGGCTCGCTGACGGCTCTGCCGCTGCGAGATCTCAAAATGCATGCGGGAACATCCTGAGGCTGAGTGAGCCTTCTCGGTCTCGGAATCTGGGCGACGGGTCCTCGCGCGCATTCCGGAGGCGATTCCGGCCGTGGCTCCGGGGGATCTCCCGCGGGATCCTCGGCGTTCCGCCCCTCGTCAAGAGGGATGTCGGGGGGCTCGGAAGGAACAAGGACAGGGGTGTGGGTAGGCTCAGCCTCTTCGCTCCTCACTCCTTGCCCAGGCGTGCTGTCTCCGTGTGGAGACGAACGGCCTGAGCTCTCCTCGGGCCCTCCAGTTGACGGAGCCCTCGTCACCTCTGATCCCGCCTGCGCCTCCATGGATCCATTCTCTGACGGAGCCTCTCTGGGGCTGCGTCGGAGGATCGCTCCGGGAGTCGAAACGGGATCGGAGGTATCAGGCGCCCTGTCGGCACGTCGCGTCTCTGGAGCGGGGACTTCCTCTCGAAAGGGAGGGCGTGGTGCCCCGGGGAGCTGAGGACCCGAGTCCAGCTCCCTCCTAACGGCATCGCCCCAAGCGTCCTCGGGAGGAGGTCCTTCTCTCTGGACGTCGACAGCGGTGGCCCTCCGAGTGTGAGCCTGACGCATCAGTTCTTGCCATTGCGGGGATTGGGCAAGCTGCATACCACATTCTTCTTCTGGGCTGGCGAGGCGGATCTGTTCTGCCGAGCATTTCTAAAGTCTAGCCCGGACGGCGACCCACACGGTTCCCCCCTCGGCCAAAACCACCACCCCGGGACCACACCAACCATCTCGGCGTCTTCCAAGGCTGTCGGCCCGGGACGTGGCTCTCGCCATGTGGCGCCAGACGTACACCCACTGGCCAGGCGTGTAGTTCCTGGGATTGGGGGTCCTGGCGCGGGAAGCCTTGCTAATCTTTTCTCTGGCCGTGGCTTCCATAGCGAGCCTTCTGGCGGCCGCTCTGATTTCCTGAGCACGGCAGAACTCAGCGCCAGCCTCGTCCAGCTCGGCTGGATTGCGGGCCAGGCCCTGCCAGCCCGGGAGACCAGAGGCGTCGTCAGAGAGCAGCTCGTGTGGGAGCCTGGGATTTTCCCCAGAGACCAGCTGCAACGGGGAGAAGCCCCCTCTGTGCCAGAACCTGTTCTTGTGGGCGGTCAGTTCGTACACGAGGGTACCCAGCTCCTCCAGCGACACCGGGGCCCCGGGACCCGAGTCGATTTCTTGGCGCGCACGCTCTTTTATCCAACCCCCGTGGCGCTCGACTCTCCCATTTTGCCGCGGAGAATCAGCGTCGCACACATGGTGCTTGACCCCCCAGTGTTCAAGTCCTCTGGCGAATCGACCTCCAAACTCGGAGCCTCCATCCGAGATGAGAAGGTGGGGAGCCCCGAAGGGTCTAATCCAGGACTGCACAAACCCCGACCACTGTGGCCGCTCTGGCGTCCGGCACGCGGGTGCAGACCTGAAGGTTCGACCCGTGGTCGACCACATTAAGAAAAGGAACCGATTGACCCAGGAACTCCAGGTGAAAGAGATCCACGCCAACTATGTGGTTGAAACGAAAAGTGCGTGGCAGCGCAACCCGTCGGTGCGTGCCCTGCCTACTTCTTTCCTCGCAATCTGAGCACTGAAACTTGTGGCGGACCCACCAGATTAAGTGAGCTTCAACGCCTCCAGCCCTGAGCACCCGACAAAATTTGCGTGAGTCGGGGTGCCCCATGTTCACGTGGATATTATACAAGAATCTCTTTTCGTCCTCGCTGGGTTCTTCGCCTGGGATCTCAGCACTCTTGGAAGATTGTTGGGGCCTGGTCTCGGGCTCGTCACCGTCGCTCGCTTCACTTCCTCCGACTTCCTCTTCCTCAGCGATGGTTCCCAGGCCTTCTCCAACCATCCCCGCAGGAAAGCTTTCGTCGATCAGCTGGGCCGACGTAGGCCGGACTTTCTGGTCGGACCCGCTCCAGTGCTCAACGATGGCTCTCGCAGCAGCCCTCACAAATACACTTGAGTCAATGGCGGCCCTGGAGGTCTGATGGCTTCCCTCGAGGATGGCGTGTCTATGGCCCCCTGTGCACAGCCTCCCATCCAGCAGAGACAGTATCCTAGGATGGTTAGTCAGCAGACCGGTG